AAAAAAAAAAAAAAAAAGAAATAGAAACAAGGTCTTGCTATGTTGCCAAGGCTGGTCTTGAACTCTTGGACTCAAGCAATCATTCTGCCTTGGCCTCCCAAAGTACTGGGATTACAGGTGTGAGCCACCATCCCCATCCAACCCGTCATTTCTTTCTTTCTTTTTTTTTTTTTTTTTTTTTGAGTTGAAGTCTCAACTCCATTGCCCAGGCTGGAGTGTAGTGGCATACACAACAACCATCCCAGCGTTGACCTGCTGGGCTCTGGCGATCCTTTAGTCTCAGCCTTCCAAGTAGCTGGAACTACAGGTGTGCACTACCATGCCCAGTAATTTTTTTATTTATTGTAGAGACCAGGTCTCGTTAAGTTACCCAGGTTGATCTCGAATCCACGGGCTCAGACAATCCACTCGCCTCAGCCTCCCAAAGTGCTAGGATTACAGGCTGAGCCATGGAGCCTGGCCCAACCCCTCATTTCTATCTCTTCAAACTTTACCCATGCATCGGTTCCTTTCCTTTAGCATTAATCATTCTCAAGCTCATCCATATTTAACAACATTGCCCTTCAACTTTGTCTGCTCTGCTATCGCTTTTTTCCCTTTATATCTAAGCTTCCCAGGAGAAGCCACTTCTTTATCCCCCAATTCATCCTTTGACAGGCTGCTGTAATTTAATTTTTCCTGCCATAGGACAGTTTCCTAATTCACCAAAATTTTTCCTTCTGGGATCATCTTTCTATTCTACTTTTACAGAATCCTTTTGTTGTATCTGACCAAGCTGACCATGTCCTCCTTACTGAAACCACTTTTTTCTCTTGGTTTTCCCAGTTCCATTTTTTGTTTTTCTATTGTTTTCTTTCTCTCTCTCTCTCTCTCTCTCTCTTTTTCTTTTTCTTTCTTTCTTTCTTGTTGGAGTCTCTCTCACCCAGACTGGAGTGCAGTGGCCGCGGGCTCAGGCAATCCATTCACCTCAGCCTTCCAAAGGCACGGGATTATAGGCTGAGTCACCGAGCTCGGTTTCTTTTCTTTTCTTTTCTTTTCTTTCTTTCTTTCTTTCTTTCTTTCTTTCTTTCTTTCTTTCTTTCTTTCTTTCTTTCTTTCTTTCTTTCTTTCTTTCTTTCTCTCTCTTTCTCTCTCTTTCTTTCTCTCTCTCTCTCTCTCTCTCTCTCTCTTTCTCTCTCTCTTTCTCTTTCTCTCTCTCTCTCCTCTCCTCTCCTCTCCTCTTCTCTTCTTCTCCTCTCTCTCTTTTTTGTTGTAGTCTCACTCTGTCACCCAGGCTGGAATGCAGTGGCATGCTCATGGCCACCACAGCTTCGACCTGCTGGGTGATCCTTCCACCTCAGCCTTCCGAGTAGATGGAACTACAGGTGTGCAACACCACACCCAGTTAATTTTTTGATTTATTGTAGAGATGAGGTCTTGTCATGTTGCCCAGGCTGGTCTCAAACCTGTGGGCTCAGGCAATCCTCTTGCCTCTGCTTCCCAAAGTGCTGGGATTACAGGCATGAGCCTCCATGTCCAGCCTCTTTCTATTACTTTCATTGCTCTTTTTCTTTCTTTTTTTTTTTTTTTGAGTTGGAGTCTCACTCTGTCACCCAGACTGGAGTGCAGTGGCCGCTCCCGGCCACTGCAGCCTCGACCTGCTTGCTGGGTTCTGGCGATCCTTCCGCCTCGGCCTTCCAAGTAGCCGGAACTACAGGCACGCGCTACCACGCCCAGCTGATTTTTGATTTATTGTAGAGATGAGGTCTCGCCAAGTTGCCCAGGTGTGTCTGGAACCCGCGGGCTCAGGCAATCCACTCACCTCAGCCTCCCAAAGCGCGGAATTACAGGCTGAACCACCGAGCCCGGCTTTGCTCTTTTTCAAAGAGGCAAAGTGGTATGTGAAAGAATAAGGACTTTGGAGAGAGTTGGATTTAAATCCCTACTTAGTAAATACCTTTTATTTCGTGTATGGCCTTGGATAAGTCACTTACACTTCTCTAAGCTCAGTTCTGTCATTTCTAAAATATGGATAATAATACCTACCCATTAGATATGGTGAAGACTTAAAGAGACAGTGGGCTGGGCATGTTGGCTCATGCTTGTAATCCTAGCACTTTGGTAGGCTGAGGCAGGAGGATGGCTTGAGCACAGGAGTTTGAGACCAACCTAGGCAACATAGTGAGACCCCCGTCTCCACAAAAAAATAAAAATAAAAATAATTAGCTGGGCATGGTGGCACATGCCTGTAGTCCCTGCTACTTGGGAGGCTGAGATGGGAGGATCACATGAACCCAGGAGTTCAAGGTAGCGGTTAGCTATGATTGAACCTTTGCACTCTAGCCTGGGTTAGACAAGTTAGTTAGACAAGACCCTGTCTCTGCTCATAAAATCCAAATTGACATCTTCATTTAGTTCTCTCTTTGGAGTTTCAGACTTTTATTTTCTACTGTCCAGTGGGCATCTCTACTAGCTGTCCTGAGCAGAGATTCCTCAATCAAGCTAGAAATCAGAATCATTTGGGGAGTTCAAAAATAAAATAAAATGTATTATCATGGGCCACCTGACAGCTGCCAGGTTCCAGGGAGGGAGGCTTGGGATCCAGTGTTCTTTAAACAAATGATCCAATTACATCTGCACCTGACCTGGTCTGTTCCTCAGTTAGGCACTTGGGAGTCACCAAGACCCATCAAGTTTATTGGGTCAAAACCTAACTCCTCCCAAATCAAACTGATTTTTCTCTTCTTTATTCCTGCTCTCTCTGGGTGGTGCATAACTCACCCTGCTGTTAAAGCCCAAAGCTCAGTGTCATCTTTGAGTCCTTTTCTTTGATTTCCCTAAGTCCCATGCTTTCTACCTCAGAAATGTCTGTCCAACCTGATCACCTGTATTCCCACTGCCACTGCCACTGTTCAGGCCTTATCGTCTCTTTGATTTCTTAATTGTCTCCCTGCCTCTAGCCCATCCTCTAGAGCTGTTTTGAGAGCTTTTGATGGTTCATCTTAAAACCACTTTTTGAGCCTCTATCTCCTACTTACTGGGCATGATGTCTTCACATGGTCACTATGCTCCAAATCTGATTTCCCTCGCATTCTAGGGCACTGAGAGAAGGGCAGAAGCCAGCAAGAAAAAAGGAGTTTTCCAAGCATTGGAGATCTGGCCTCTTCACTTACATGCTGTCTACAAATGCACCATGATTCTTTCCCTATCAAATCGACTCCTTTAATCTTTTTCACAGTCCTTTCATTATCCTTGTTGCTTGTCTCAACCACTTTTAAGTCTGCCAACATCTTTCTGATCCTTAAGTAAACAGGACAAATCACTCTGCTGGGAGACATGAACTCTCTGCCCTGCCTTGGCCTTCTGGAAGTAACACTGATTGAACAACAGACATGCAGTGGGAGGCTGAGCTCTCCTTCTCATGCCTGTGTGGAGTGTAACTGTGGAAGGTAATTGTAAGATTACTGCATTTGAATCAAAACCACAGGAGCATACAGTCTTGGCTCACCTGGGCACTCCTGAGGGTCTGCAGGGATAGCTGCTGGGCTTTGGGGGATGCACAGGGCAGCAAAGCTATTAGACCTTTATACACTTGATTCTGGTACTTGGGGTTACCATGGACCAAAGAGTCCAACAGAACCTGCACTTCTTCCTGGGTCTCTTCTGACTTAGACTTTGCCAAAAATTCTGCAATGGATCGTACACCTGAGCAAAGAAGAGAGGAAATGCTGAATTGGAAGGGATCTAGGAAAACAATCCCCACTCAAGACTATGTAATATGAAGAGGATTAAAATCTCTTCAACCAAGCCTGTTCAACCAAGGCAAAATTGAGGCTCATTTCTTGTGCTGCATGATGAGACACTGTTGTCTTGTTTACTTTACAGCTGTGTGACTGGAGGATTTTGTTTCAGCATAGGCATGTCAAAATCTGTGCTTTAAAGTTTAGAATGGCTCTGCAAAATCTCCAAATAAAACATGCATTTTTTTATTGCTAGATGATAGCACATGTGTGATGCTCAGCAGCTTGCAAAATGTTTTTATAAATATTAACACATTTAATCCCAAAAACCATTCTGAGAGAGAGGTGTTAGTTCCATTTTATGGATGAAGCCACTGAGGCTCAGGGAGACCGTGAGGAAGACAGAGAGGAGAACCAGGGTGAAAGTACAGGAAGGGAAATGCTTTGAAAAAGAGAGGTGTGGGGCTGACATCATTTTTACATGCCTCAACCAGAGCACTTGTGAGATTGTACTGAAACTGCTGGATTATTTACCCTGTTCACCAGACTGTAAACTCTTGAGGACAGGGACTATATTTTATTCATCTTTGCATCCCTAGCATGTTAGCATATATGTAGTACACAGTAGGTATTCAATAAGTTGTCTCCAGTTGTACTTCTAGAGTTATTCACGACTCTGTTTCATAAAGGGTTTTGGGCAATAGCTCAATAAATCTTTTTGCATGAAAGAGGATCTACTCAAAATGGAGAAGTATTTCTAAAACCACCACTGAAAATTTGAGCAAATGATGAATCAGGAAAATCATAAATATGGTTCCTGTGGTGACATGGACAGAAGCACAAAATGCTTCCCGTGCGACTTGTTCTGTGATGGTTTTTTTCCCTATAGCAGTGGTGGGTGCTGCCACCATTTCATCAGGCCCCTAGGGCGACTTAGGAATCAACACCCTTGTCATACCCAGTACCCACCATAACTTTCACAAATGAGCTCCTTGTACTTCCTGCCGTAGTTTGCAATAACCTGAAGTAGCTTGATAGATTCCTTCTTGTCCTCCTCTTTGATCTTCTCCAGCCCAAGTATTTCCAAGAGTGTTAGGACACCTCCAACCTCAAGAAATTCTATAAGGTACCGATTACTGTCCAGAGGGATAGAAAAGAAGAAATAAAACACTTGTCAAGTCCCTTGGCACTGAGCTTTCAAAGGGATCTCAAGGTCCCGTCTTCATACTTTGCCCTCCTATCCGGGAAATGTCCATAGAGAAAGTGACACAAGAGTTTGGAAATTCTAAGAAAAAGGAAGGAAGGAAGGAAGGAAAGAAAAAGGCCGTGTGTGGTGGCTCATGCCTATAATCCCAGCACTTTGGGAGGCCAAGGCAGGAGGATCGCTTGAGCCCAGGGGTTTGAGCCAGCCTGGGCAACATAGCGAGACCCATCTCTATTTTTTTTTTTTTTTTTTTGAGTTGGAGTCTTACTCTGTAACCCAGGCTGGAGTGCAGAGGCATGCTCACAGCCACTGCATCCTTGACCTGCTGGGCTCAGGCAATCCATCCACCTTAGTCTTCCAAGTAGCTGGAACTACAGGTATGCGCCATCACACCTGGCTAAGTTTTTGATTTATTGTAGAGATGATATCTTGCCAAGTTGCCCAGGCTGGTCTCGAACCCTTGGGCTCAGGCAATCCCCTCACCTTGGCCTCTCAAAGTGCTGGGATTATAGGCGTGAGTCACTGTGCTGGCCCCATTAAAAGAAAGAAAGAAATTCTTCCTCCCAGCAGGAAATAGAAATACTGGAATTAAATACAATGGATATTTCTTGTTTTTTGCCTCCAGCATCTGGTATCTTTTCTTCTTACAACAGCACCTTAGTTGTCACTTGAGGAATCACCTCTTTGCTGCTCATGGGTCATGTAGTTTTGGTGGGGAGAAAAGTGACAGGGTATGTCATCCTGTCTGTAGACACTGGTTTGGAGCTGAACATGTGACCTAAACTGGTTCAATGAGGCTCACAACCTGGGACTTTCTTGGGAACCTGTGGAAGAGATATCCACGCTTTTTGCATGGCTAAGCCATAAGGATGTACGTCTGGAACTCCTGAGGGCCACAGCACACACAGGCCTAAGAATGCAGAGGAGAACAGACTGAGAAATGGAGGAAAAGAGAGAGGAAGTGACCAATTATTGAAGCCAATGTTTGAACTTCTGTTTCTAGTCAAGCCTGAAATCCACCCTCCAGGTTTTTCAGTTAAGTGAGCCAATACATTTCCTTTTCCTGAGTCCAGTGTGTGTTAGTTTTCTGTAATTTGCAACTAAGAGGGTGCTGATCAGTAAAGTGTTAGTGGAGAACATGGGATGGAGGAGCAACTAGAGCAGGACCGTAGTGGACACTACCTCTGGGCCCATTCTGAGGGCACCCACTGATAACTAGAATCCATGGCTCCATGTGGTGTGAGTGCAAAGGATGCCAGGAGCCTGAGATGCCACTGAGAACCCAGAATCTCTCTAGTACAGAACTCACCTGCTTACAGCTGATAAGAAGATACCAATGGACCTTAGAAGCTTTTCTAAACACGAGCCAGTCATATAGCTGTATGACAAGTTAAAGAGTGAGTTTCAGGGTGATTTTTCACACAGAAGCTGGATCCTGTGTCTGATCCCTGGTATCATCTAGGGCCCAGGAGGACCAAGTAGCTGAATTGTGCCCTTTACCCTGAGAGGGGCCACTAACTGAAGGGTAAGTGCCAAAGGTGGGGGCCCTTGGGGATGCTGACTTGTTCATTGTTCTCCAGGAAGCTCCTCTGGGGTAGCTCAGTCACATTGACTCTGACAGGCTCCCTAGGGAGCAGGGAGGCTCTGATGAATCAAAGGTCCATGGATAAGGCTGGAGTCAGTTTCCCAAACCTCTCTAACCTGTGCCATTGTACCCTTGATCTCAGCACAGTTCTTCACTTTGTGCCTCATTCTTAGATTTCCCTAAAAAGAATCAGCTTCATCGTTAATTCTTAATTTTGTATTTGCTCAAAATTTTACACTGGAGGTCACTATCCTTATGAAGAATTGGCTTCCTAATAAGAATAACAGGAGATGGTAGAAAAATAAAACTCTGATTTAAAACAACCTCGGTATTTAATGTTATTTTTAAATGTGAGCCTTTGCAGAAAGCTTCATCATAATAAAGCATCCAAAGCACGCATCAGCTCGGATACAAGGTATGAAATCAAGCCACAACAGAAAAGGAACCAGTCAACAATTACTAGGCTCATAACACATCACAGGCTCTTAGAACACTTAAGAAATTAGCTGAAATTATTGCAGCTCATGGAGGATGACTGAGAGCTTCCAAGGCTGATAAAGGCTAATGTAATGGGTTGGAGGTAATGGTGCTTTGTTTGGGGGGGGTGTGAGGCAAATTATCTCTGCTGCACCCTGGTTCCCAGGATGCCAATAGAAGTAGAGACAGATTGGCTCATTAGGAAAGGCTCTTTACTGCAAAAATAGTGTTTGCTCTGGAGCCAGGCTCCCTGGCCTGTTGCTGCCAGAGCTGGGAGGTAGGCCATCAGCCCACATTGTAGTCTCCTTATTCCTACATTGTCCCCACCCTACTCCCTCAGCCCCTGCCTCCATTCCTGCCTCAGTTCATCCTCTCCCTTTACTTCAGTTACCAGCTAGGCTGCCCAATTTTTGTCACCGTCTTTTTTCCTATGTCCCAGGCTAGTCTTATTTTCACAGTCACTTACTATACATGTTTCTGGTCTATTATTTCCAGCAGTGAGTTCCAGAAGGTTGCCACAGTATCAGCAGTAACTAATAAGCACCAGCATTTCTTGTGTGCCAGGCACTGTGCCATCTGCTTTTCTTGCACTATGTCGTATAATCCTCACCACGGCCCTCCAGTGGGTGCTATTAGTATTTTCATTTACTTTGTAAGTAAGAGGAAGTAACAGGAGGTAAAGTTAATGAACTTTCCAATGTCCCAAATTGAACCAATGGCACCAAGATTTGAACCTAGGCCATTGACTCGGAAACTGGGATCTTTTTTTTTTTAAAGCAAAGTGAGTTTTATTTTTATTTTTATTATTATTTTTGAGTCAGAGTCTCACTCTGTCACCCAGGCTGGAGTGCAGTGGCACGCTCATATGGCCACCCCAGCGTTGACCTACTGCACTCAGGCGATCCTTCCTCCTCAGCCTTCCAAGTAGCCAGAACTACGGGTGCGCACTACCATACCCAGCTAATTTTTTGATATATTGTAGAGATGAGGTCTCACCAAGTTGCCCAGGCTGGTCTTGAGCCTCTACCTGCTGGGCTCAGGTGATCCTTCTGCCTCAGCCTTTCAAGTAGCTGGAACTACAGGCATGTGCCACCATGCCCAGCTGTTTTTTTTTATTTATTGTAGAGTCAAGGTCTCTACAATAGTGAAACTCCGACTCAGATAAATAAATAGATAAATAAATAAACGTACGGTTCAAGTCAGGTGTGGTGGCTCATGCCTGTAATCTCAGCACTTTGGAAGGTGGAGGCAAGAGGATTGCCTGAATCCAGGGGTTTGAGATCAGCCTGGGCAACTTGGCGAGACCTCGTCTCTGCAATAAATCAAAAAATTAAGCCAGGCATGGTGGTACATGCCTATAGTTCCCGCTGCTTGGAAGGCTGAGGCAGAAGGATCACCTGAGCTCAGTAGGTCAAGGCTGTGGTGGCCATGAGTGTGCCATTGCACTCCAACCAGAATGAGGCTTCAACAACAACAACAACAAAAAAGAAAGTTGGGATCACAGAGTGAAACTCCTATTCAAAAAAAAAACAAAGCATGGTTCATTCAGTAAGTGCTGACCGAGTGTTTGTTCACTAAATGTTAGACACCATGATTGGCACTTGAGAAATGGAGAAGAATGATAGAATGACTAATGTAATAAGCACAGTGACCAAGTAAGAAAATAGGTTGCTTGGAAATATTAACATTTAAGAGTGGGTGAGGAAAGATTCTGCTGCAGTGATTGAGAAACAGTAACAGGAGAAGGTAGAGGAGAGAACAGTTTAAGAAGGGGAGTGACCAGGCAGGGCTGGGACTAGGGTGAGGTGAGGGAGGCACTTGTTTTGGATATGGAATTTAAAGGGGCACCAACAAACTCAGTAATCAAGTAATATTTCAATGCAATATTTAAAAGAATCAGATGAGTATTAAAAATCCAAGATGAATGAAATACCAGTTTTAAATAAAGGTAGGTTCTGACCCAGCACCTATACGGCCCTGCCTCTCTCACTTCAAATGGAAAATGTTGTCAAGTAAGACAAGGAAGGAAAAGGGAACTCTGGATTTGGCAACAAGGAGGTTGCCGATAACTTTGGTGGGCTTAGTGCCATGAGTTGTGGGGACAGGAGCCAGGATACAGGCAGCAATGACTGTCAAAGCATGATCTGTAGACCACTGGCACCAGAGTCACCCAGGGTGATCATTAGAAATTAGGGGTCTTGGCCGGGCGCGGTGGCTCATGCCTATAATCCCAGCACTTTGGGAGGCCTAGGTGAGAGGATTTCCTGAGCCCACGGGTTCAAAACCAGCCTGGGCAACTTGGTGAGACCTCATCTCTACAAAAAATTAAAAAATTAGGTGTGGTGGCGTGTGCCTGTAACTCCAGCTACTTGGAAGGCTGAGGTGGAAGGATTACCTGAGCTCAGCAGGTAGAAACTGTGGTGGCCATGAGCGTGCCACTGCACTTCAGTCGGGGTGACAGAATGAGACTTCAACTCAAAAAAAAAAAGAAAGAAATTAGGGGTCCAGAACTCCACCTTCAATTTACTAAATTAGAACTTAGGGGCTGGGAGTGGGGAGGTAGACTGGTAATCTGCTTTATTTATTTATTTATTTATTTATTTATTTATTTATTTATTAAGTTGGAGTCTCACTCTGTTGCCCAGGCTGGAGAATTTAGTGGCACACTCCCGGTCACCACAGCCTTGATCTCCTGGGCTCAGGTGATCCTTCTGCCTCAGTCTTCCAAGTAGCCGGAACTACAGGTGTGTGCTACTGCACCCAGCTAATTTTTTGACTTATTGTAGAGACGAGGTCTCACCATGTTGCCCATGCTAGTCTCAAACCCGCAGGCTCAGGCAATCCTCTCGCCTTGGCCTCCCAAAGTGCTGGGATTATAGGCTTGAGCCACTGTGCCTGGCTTATTTATTTTTTTTGCAAGCAGGATTTATTGAGAAGACAGAAAAGCTCCCACAGTGAGAGGAGGCCCAAAGGGGTTGCTCAATCTGCATTTTAAACCTCTTATGCACAGTCATATCTGAGAACATTAGGGTCAATCTAGAGATGTATTCCATGGTATTTCCTTTGGACTGAATCTGAATTATAATTTTATCAATGACTTAAATGGAAGAAAAGAGAGCTGTGTTTACTTAAAACTTTAGTTCTGCTCAGCTGCAGACTGTCTGTTTCACTCATTCCTTTACCCAGCAAACACATGCCAGACATTGTGGTGGGTATTACAATCCAGTGGTGGGCAAGAGAGATATTAAGTAGATAATAACAGTAAAATGTTATGACTATTAAGATAGAGGAAGCACCGTTATGAGTGTATCTAACAGGGGAGCCTAAGCTAATCTGGGGCTCAGGAATGGGCTTCCTGAGAAAGTGGTTTAAACTGAGACCTGAAAGACAGAGTAGGAGTTAGTCAAATAAAGAGGGGGTTTAGAGAAAGGGAGAGGGTTCAGGCAAGGAGAAAAACACAATCAAGGGGTCTCAGATGCTCAGATCCTCAAATCCTCAAATCCACCCATAACTTGAACTATCACCTTGATGGTGACCAAACCTGTCTTTAGCCCTGATCTGAGCTGATCCTGAGCACAGTCACATCAGACTCAACATGTCTCAAAACAAACGTATTTACATCGGAACCTGCTCCTCTTCTTATGTTCTCTTCTGCATAATGATACCCTTTTCCCATAGTTTACTGTGCCATAAATGTGAGACTCATCCAGTGGCATATGAGTGGAGATAGTGGTTGGATTTCTAGGTATGGAATTCAGATTCCAGAGGGAGACTTGGGCAGGGATGTACATTTGGGAGTCCTCAACCTGGAGTAGTGTTGATATCATGACGATGGATGAGTCTCCCAGGGAGAATCTGAGAGTGAGCAGAGAAGAGGAAAGTAGATAGAATCCTAAGTAACACCAACATTTAGGGATGACTGAAGAAGAGAAGGAATGAACAGAAAGAAAGGAGTAAACAAAGACAACTAAGAAAAGTACTTTGAGAAGTGGGAAAGGAAAGGTTGATTGACAAATTCCACTGAGAGATCACATATGAGGACTCAGGATGTAGTCCCTGGGTTTTGCAACTAGAAAAATATTGGTGGCTGGGTGTGGTGGCTCACCCCTGTAATGTCAGCACTTTGGGAAGCCAAGGTGAGAGAAGCACTTGGATTCAGGAGTTCAAGACCTCATCTCATAGTGAGACCTCATCTCCACAAAAAGTAAAAAAATTAGCTGGATGTAGTGGCGTGTGCCTGTAGTCCCAGGTATCCGGGAGGCTGAGGTGGGAGGATTGCCCGAGCCCAGGATGTTGAGGCTACAGTGGGCTGGGATGGTGCCACTGCACTTCACCCTGGGCAACACAGTGAAAACCCGACTTGACAAAACAAACGAAGAAAAAAACCTCCAAAATCCCCAAACATTGGTAATATTAGCAAGACCTGCATCAGTGGAGTGGGAGGAAGAGGAAGAGAAGTCAGACTGCAAGAAGTGGAGAAGAGGGAGGAGAGGAAGTGGAAGCAGGGAGAGTCAACAACCTTTTCAAGATGCTTCACTTTGAAGGGCAGAAGCTGGGTGGTATATAGGTTTGAGATAGGGATTTAATGTTATTTTCTTAAGGTAGAAGAGATTTCAGCATATATAAATGGTCATGATAAAAGCTGATAATGAGCAAAGGCGAAAGCTATAAGAGAGAAAGAATAAGAAGATGGGAAGAGGGTTCAAGTGTAGTACAAACGAAGGGTTAGCCCTTGAAGTACACATCCTTCAACTCTGAGGGGAGCAAAAATGGTGAGGGGTGAGGATGAGAATACAATTATAGGCTGAGAAGACAGGGAGTTAAGGGAGTACTTGACTTTTAGGATGATATATATATATATATATTTTTTTTTTTTTTGAGTTGGAGTCTCACTCTGTCACCCAGACTGGAGTGCAGTGGCCGCTCCCGGCCACCGCAGCCTCGACCTGCTGGGCTCTGGCGATCCTTCTGCCTCAGCCTTCTGAGTAGCAGGAATTACAGGCACGCATGCCTGGCTAATTTTTTGATTTTTATTGTAGAGATGAGGTCTTGCCTGCCCAGGCGGGTCTCGAACCCGCGGGCTCAGGCAATCCACTCACCTCAGCCTCAGCCTCAGGCAATCCACTCACCTCAGCCTCGTGGGATTACAGGCTGAGCCACCGAGCCTGGCTAGGATGATATTTTTAATCACCAGATGTCCTGTTCTAAAATATCAGAAAGAATCAAGAGAAAAGTCCTTCAACAATCTTCTCTCTTTTCTTTTGAAGATTGCCTAATTTTTTGTTGTTGTTCAGCAAAGGATACGTGATTCTAAGTGAGGTGGTCAAGCGTACCAGGAACAAGCTGGCTCCCTGGGAAAACTCCTGCTCCAATTCAGGGGCAGTCTTGCCTTGGTTGGTTTCAATGAAATTGTCAAGGATGTGACTCCTTGTGACTTTGCCAGCGTTGTCCCAATCCTGTAAAAAACTTAAGAGCCTGCTGATTGCTGCCTGTTCCTTTATGGAAGTCATGATCAGTCAGTCCTGAAGTCAGCTACAGGAGGGAAAACAGACAGGTTACCAGAATGTTTAGAATCATGCAAGTCCATTATTCTGTGGGTTTTGCTTTTCCAGCAATCAACTGGAGGCAGGGTGAGCCTCAGTCATGCACATGGGTATAGTTACGTGTAAAATATACTCTAGGACTGGTCATTTGCTACTTGAACAGGCAGGCCCTAGCAGGGATATAATGGAATTAAGAATATCAAGGTACTACATTCCTGCTTTTTTTTTTTTGAGTTGGAGTCTCACTTTGTCACCCAGACTAGTCGGAGTGCAGTGGCCGCTCCCAATCACTGCAGCCTCGACCTGCTGGGCTCTGGCGATCCTTCTGCCTCAGCCTTCCAACTAGCTGGAACTATAGGCATGCACTACCACGCCCAGCTAATTTTTGATTTATTGTAGAGATGAGTTCTCGCCAAGTTGCCCAGGCGGGTCTCGAACCTGTGGGCTCAGGCAATTCACTCACCTCAGCCTCCCAAAGGTGCGGGATTACAGGCTGAGCCAACGAACCTGGCTTTAAATTCCTGCTTTTTAAGAGCTAAAATTTTAACTCTGGCTTCTCTGCTGATGCCAGGAACTTAAAGATCACAGGATCCAGCTGAGGTGAAGGAGCATGCTAAAAACCCGGGCCTCTCTCACGGTTTATTTCACACAGGGCCAGAGACTTGGGGTCTTATGCCATCAGCTACGTTAAAGTGCTCCTTAACCTTGTACCTTGGGTTTTTATACTTACTCTTAAAAACAACTTTAAAAAAGTTAGTGGGAAGAAAAAGTTCCCATTCCATAGTTGGATTAATGGGCTGTGGTTTGTAGGAGTCTGTGTCCTTGGGAGAGTGTTTTCAGTGGGGGAGGGAAGGTTTAAAATAAACCCGTTTTCCAAAAATAGTTGTGATTGAAAGTGTTATTATCCATAACAAATGTTAGTGCTGATGGGAGAGAGGCATGTGCGATTCTTTTGTCTAACAGACAAGTGAAAGTCATATTTCACATTATCATGGGTTTTTTTGTGATTTACAGAATATTTGTGAAACATTACTTGCAGGGGCCATGATTGATATGGAGAGAACAGCTTGTGTGTAGGGGAGATGTGTATTTCACGAAGACTGTTCAACATGAAATTTACAGTCCCATAAAGTGCTTCTACATCTTCGCCAGAGATCTAGTTAAAAGGACTTTACAGTCTGAAACATCCTAAAATTGATTCTAAATTAACGTTTCCTCACATGTATTTGAGATATTGATGGGGCCCAGCTATCAGAATTTTATTAGGAAGCAATAATCTGAGGCAAGCTGAGACAGACATACATACACACCAACCTCTACTGCTCCCCAGAGGACACTGGATATGTGCTCCCGGAAGGGCGTCTACGTAGCCTCAGGGATGGAGACAACCACGAAATCCCATCAGCCTTCAGAACCAGGTGAATAACTGGACCAACCTAAACACAAAAATGACCAAAACCCCTCATGGGATCATGCATCAATCACTGCGATGCCATTACAGCCATAAGTCTGAGAATAACTTTCAGAGACTATGGCCACCTTCAACAACCAAACTGGCCTCAAGAAAATGGGGATGAGTGGCTGTTCTAGAACCCAGGCAGGGGGGTTCTACTAGATTTATCAGGCAGGAAAGCACCCTGTGTCCCTACTGTGCCTTGGATGGACCGTTTCTAGTATGAAAACTCAAAGTGCTATCAGGGATGCGCACAGAAATTCCAGGACACCAAGGATAAAAAACTCTAAGCAGGGTACTCCAAGGTTTCCTTGGATGTATCTTCCCTTATCATTTTTTTTTTTGAGACAGGAAAAGAAAAACCAACAGATGGCAGCTTTAAAGATCATACTAATGAAGCTCTAGATCTTCAATATGTAGTGAAGACCCATCATGGGGCTCTGTATAAGGCACTGTGGGAGACCCAGAGATGAATATGGTGCTGCGGGGCCCTTGAGGTAGAGAGATGAACAGGAGGTTTTGAGACTGACTGGTTCAAGGCTAAGCTCTGCCACTTGTTATTTTGCAAAAAATCAAATAGTTATAGTATACTCCTTGTCACTTTCTAATATCTCTTCACAGAGGCTGCCACTTTCAACTCTTTTGGGTATTTTTTTCTGGTGTTTACCTCCATATTTCCAAATAATAAGCTTATACTACTTGTTATGGGCTGAATTGGGTTTTCCTCAAATTCCTATGTTGAAGTCCTAACCAGCAGTACCTTGGAATATGACTGCATTTGGAGACAGGATCTTTAAAGAGGAAATTAAGGTAAAATGAGGTGATTAGGGTGGGCCCTTATTGAATATGACTGGTGTCCTTATAAAAAGAGATTAGGGCCGGGCATGGTGGCTCACACCTATAGTCCTAGCACTTTAAGAGACCGAGGTGAGAGGATTGCCTGAGCCCATGGGTTCAAGACCAGCCTGGGCAACTTGGTGAGACCTCATCTCTACAATACATCAAAAAATTAGCCAGGCATGGTGGCGCATGCCTGTAGTCCCAGCTACTTGGAAGGTTGAAGAGGAAGGATTGCCTGAGCCCAGCAGGTCGAGGCTGCGGAGGCCGTGAGTGTGCCGCTGCACTCCGGCCTGGGTGACAGAGTGAGAATCTGACTCAAAAAAAAAGAAGAGATTAGGATACAGACATACACAGAGGGAAAACCATGTGAAGACACAGGGAAAAGATGGCCATTTACAAGCCAAAGAGAGAGGCCTCAGAAGAAACCAACCCTGAAACAGTGATCTCAGCCTTCCAGCCTCCAGAGTTGTGAGATAATGAATTTCTGTAATTTAAGTCACAGTCTGTGGTACTTTGTTATATTAGCTCTAGCAAATGAATAAACTATTATTATTATATTTATCAACTTTATTTTATTTTCATTTATTTATTTTTGAGTCAGTGTGTCGCTCTATCACCCAGGGAGGAGTACAGTGGCATGATCATGGCCCATCTCAGCTTCGACCTTCTGGGCTCAAGCAATCCTTCTGCCTCAGCCTCCTGAGTGGGTGAGACTACAGAGACACACCACCATACCTGGTCAACCCTTTGACTTTTTTTGTAGAGATGAAGCCTTGCAATGTTGCCCAGGCTGGTCTCAAACTCCTGAGTTAAAGCAATTTTCCCACCTCAGCCTCCCAAAGTGCTGGGCCTACAGGATTTGTGCCCAGCCTAATTTATTAATTTTAGACAATATTTATGTGCTTATCATTCTGGCAGTTAAGGAATAATTCTTCTTCCTCCTTTCCCTCCTCGTCCTCCTCCTCCTCTTCATCTTCTTCCTCTTTCTTGAGTCAGGATCTCACTCTGTTACCCAGGCTATAGTGCAGTGACATAAGCACAGCTCACCATGGCTTCAACCTCCTGGGCTCAGGAAATCCTTCTACTTTAGCCTACTGAGTAGCTGGGGCTACAGGTGTGTAACACCATGCCTGGCTAATTAAAACAATTTTTTTTTGTGGAGACAAAGTCTCACTATGTTGCCCAGGCTGGTCTTTAACTCCTGGGCTCAAGCAGTCCTCTCACTTTGGCCTCCCAAAATGCTGAGTTTACAGATGTGAGTCACAGCACCTGGTCTTTTTTGCTATGTTGCTCAAGTTGCAGTACAATTGCACACTCTAGCCTTGAACTACTGTCTCCAAGTGATCGTCCAGCCTTAGCCTCCTGAGCAGTTGGGACTACAGGCCCACTCCATCATACCCAGCTGAGAAATTAGTTCTACTGCACCACCCTAACTCCCATTTTTTTCTCCTCATATCCTCACAATAATACTTCCCACAATTTACAGTTAAACCAATAGTGTTTACATTATTAACCAAGTAGATAAACTCTTTACTCAAGTAACAAACTACTATTACATTTTATTCTTACAATCTGGTTTACCTGGAGTTAGTAACTGTCTTTTTCTGAATTGTTTAGTTCAAAGTACCTAGAGCTGTTTTTTTCCAAATGTTCCAAACATGTAATGATAATTTTTCCAAATGTTCAACCCATAAGTGATCAGTTCCATCTTTGCCCTGGAAACCTCTGTCCCACAGATCTCCGTCTTTCTACTTTATTTTTCATTGTTAGATGGGTAACGTGCCGATGTTGTAACAACGTCTGTGGGTGACACATTTCACAAATGTGTGTGAATGCCCAGTATCACATTTATGAACTACAAAAGGATCTGTCTTTCTACTTTAGTTTGGACTGGTTACTCGCTAAGCCGGCATGCAAATCTGGGATTCCCTTTTGTCATACTTCTCTGTTGGATGCCTGTTTCTTGGATCCCACATCTTCCTCCTTGGTTTACTCCAAGTGGTTGGAGCACATTCTCTAGTAGCTTTCTAAGAGATGAGGCCTCCAATGTGTGTGTGTGTGTGTGTGTGTGTGTGTGTGTGTGTGTGTGTGTGTGTGTGTGTGTGTGTGTGTGTCTTGGAAAGTCTGAAAGCATCTTTTTTGATCTCATGTTGGATGGGCTAGGTTTGTAACTCCATGTTAGAAATAAGCATCCCTCATATTGAGCCTCCCCAGTTGCTGTTACTAATAAATCTGATGTTGTTCTGACTCCTGTACCTTTGTCTATAATTTGTTTTGTTACTTCTGATGATTTGAAAACCTTTCTGAAATTGTATGAAGGTATGCCTTGGTGCAGGTCTTTTTTCATTTTTTATATTAGGCTTGTGGTAGGTTCTTTTGATCAGGTTCTCCATCCTTCACGTTTTGGAAATTTCTTTATTAGGCAACTAATCTTTTCATTGGGGAATTCATCAATGTCAGTCAGTGGAGGCCTTCTGTTTTTTGTTTTTCACCTAATAGAGTCATCAGTGTCTCTGGAGAAGACTTTTCTATTTTCCCAGGGATGGTGAAAAGGTGGGGGTGATAAATGCTTGGTTGTTGGCATACTGGGAGTCGGGTTGGGGCAGAGGCTGATGCAATGCAGTATGTAGACTTTTCCTCAACCATTCAGTTTTCCACCCTCTGTCTCATCCCCGCCCTTCAAACTATGCCTGAGGTCCCTGAAAATGGAGGCCTCCAGAGTTCAATCTCCTTTTTCATGCTACAAGAATTTAGTTTCTTGGTTGTTGAGAGAAGCTCTCTGGAGTGGGGTGAAGTGCTCTGCATACAGACGTCAGCTAGCCCCCAGTGTTCAACTCTATGTCTCATGTCTGACCTTCTGTGGTAATTTGTGCTTCCAAGCTTTAAATCTCTTGAGGTTAAACTGGCTGAATCAACTTGCTTCTCTTTGGTAATCTTCTCTTGGCACTTGTTTGCAATTTTCTCTGCTTCCAGTTAGTTAGCATCTGCCTTCTACCTTCCAAATATGTATTGAATTCTTTCATTTGCTATTGCCTCCTCTGAACTTTTGTGACTTAATGCTCTTTTATATTTCTTTAGTGTTATGTCACTGAGGTTTTGAGGAGGGGAAGATAAAGGGCATTAAATATGTTTAATCAAGAGTCTCCAGCCAGTTTTTTTTTTTTTTTTTTTTTTGAGTTGGAGTCTCACTCTGTCGCCGAGACTGGAGTACAGTAGCCACTCCCGGCCACCGCAGCCTCGACCTGCTGGCCTCCGGCGATCCTTCCGCCTCAGTCTTCCAAGTAGCCAGGATTATAGGCATGCGCTACCACGCCCGGCTGATTTTTTGATTTACTATAGAGATGAGGTCTCGCTTGCCCAGGCGGGTCTCGAACCCACGGGCTCAGGCAATCCACTCACCTCAGCCTCCCAAAGGCGCAGGATTACAGGCTGAGCCACCGAGCCCAGTTTATTTAGTTTTATTTCAACTGTTTTAAAAGTAAGATTTGGTGAAGATTAAAAAAAAAGATCCATTAAATTCCGTTTTAAGGTTGGGCTCGGTGGCTCAGCCGGTTAATCCCAGCACTTTGGGAGGTTGAGGTGGGTGGATTGCCTGAGCCCACAGGTTCAAGACCAGCCTGGGCAACTTGGTGAGACCTCTACAACAGATTTAAAAAAAAAACAACTAGCCGGGTGTAGTAGCACACGCCTGTAGTTCCGGCTACTTGGAAGGCTGAGGTGGAAGGATAGCTGGAGCCCAGCAGGTTGAGGCTGTGGTGGCCGTGAGTGTGCTACTGCACTCCAGCCTGGGTGATGGAGTGAGACTCCAACTCAAAAATAGACAAATAAATAAATTCCGTTTTTAAAAAGAAGAACATACTGGGAAGAGGAGAAAAATGTGCCAATTTCAAGAGTCAGTTGCTGTACTTAAGCTTCTTGACCACCAAGGTAAAAGGAGAGATGCTAATGTCTTTTCTAGTGAAGGCAGGAGAGAAGGAATGAAGGCAAGAAGAAACTTACTTTTTCTTTCTTGAGTTGGAGTCTCACTCTGTCACCCAGGCTGGAGTGCAGTGGCATGCTTGTGGCTACTACAGCCCTGATCTGCTGGGCTCAGGTGATCCCTCCACCTCAGCCTTCCAGGTAGCTGGAACTACAGGCACGTGC